ATCAACACCGTGGGTGGCTACTGGACACCCAAGGTTGACCTCCGGCCTCCCCATGCACACAGGGACTCACACTCACGCACACAGGCATGTACTAAAAAGAGAAAAGTTTCACAAGTGTGTGGCCCAAGTGTTTGCCGTAAGACCTCTCAATGTGGTTTGGAGATGTGTAGATGTCTAGGATATATGAAACTAAGAAGAAAAGCCGACTAGTCAAAGGTAAACATAGTACAAAAGCATTATTTGGCTTTATAAGAACTGAGATAAGAAATAGATTTGCCAGGTCACCGTCTTGAGGGGATTTTTGCCAACTGTTATTCTCAGTTACAGTTTTATCTTGTTTTTATAAATATTCAATAATTCTGAATATCATAGAGCCTTCAGTGTTTATAGTTTCCTACACGTGAGAAGAAAATAAATGAACCGTCGTTTCCCAAGCAGGCTCACACTAAGGAGGGAACTGGTGGGCGGGGTATATGCCAGCAGTGAGCCATAAGTGGTCTGTGAAACAGTGGTGTGAAGGCCCTCGTGGTGGCGGCCTGGAGAAGTCCTCAATCCAAAGGCGCCTTTTGAAATAGGTGAGTAGAAGGTAGAGAAGAAACTCATTTGGTCTGGAGCCTTGTGGAAACACACGAAGGACCAATAGCACACGAGAGTGGAGCTCAAGGCCTGGCCATGCGCAGTTGGGTGAGAGACAGGTTCTTGGTTTAGCCAGGAGGAGGATGGACCACAGGGAAAGCAGCTCCCCGTGTGGTATAAGATAAATGGAGAGAAGTTAATGGCAGACACTCCTTCCAAGAGGCCGCTGAGGGGATAGCTGCCTTCTGTCCTAACAGTTACAAATTACCAATTAACAAAGAACATGCCAAACCCTAAAGATCACAGATGGTGCACAGATGCACGGGGCGGTAAGAGCCGTTGCTATGTCTCTTCTCTGAGCAACTTTACCATGCTACAGCAAAAAAACAACAAAAAAACACGATGGCCAGTCAGGTCTCCAGTCCCGTCCAGCTCCTGCAAGGAGCACACTGTGGGGCTCATTTCACTCTGACATGATGGATAAAGTGTCTTCTGAGGCCTTTCAACAAGCGTCTCCTGAAGTCTAGGGCCTTTGGGTTTTAAAATCTGTTATTTAATCGTGTGCCTTTTACAG